AATCCCGGGTTTCGGCATTCACAAACTTTTTCTTAATTTTGTTCTTTAGAAGTTGGGTTATTATTATTTATTTATATATTTAACACCAATCGGCACTATACATCTAATAACCATTATAATTATAAATAAGACAACAGGCTTAAACATATAAAATTAGGAATTAAACAAGTAACCTAGTTCGTATGCTAGTATTTGAATAAAGCTTTTTCAACGATCTTTCTGAAGTTCTGTAGAGATCCGCTGAAGAAGTTGATGCCACCGTTTACCAGTCTACAGATTCCTTTGGGTCATTGATTACATAGTTTTTGTTCGATCTGCAAGTTTTCAGAATCCTCATCTGTCAAAGGTTAAGCTCGTTAGGTACGATTTCAAAGCCTGCAAGGATTTCTGGGGCATCAATTAATCCATTGAAGATTTTGAGAAGAAGATGAGGTCTGCTACCTGCCGTCGAGATTTTAGGTTATTTATTTTCAGAATTCTTCGGTCGTCTTCTGTTGAATTGATATCGTTTCTATGTCTGTTATGAAATAGCAGCGCTTTGCAGAACTTGTGCTGGATTCTCTCTACTCTAGTTATACCCAAGTCCCTGATGTCTTCAACTTCCGTGAGTCTTTGGTCGTTCAACGTGTAGGTTAAAAGTACCTGGGTATGCGCACAGTGAAGGACATCACTGCGCATTTTTTCACATTCAGAACATGTTTATTTATTTTACATCAGTTATACAGCTCATCTATATCGTTTCGTAAGATGTGAATATCAAGAAAGGTGAAAATTCTTCGAAAATTTTTAAATCGTCAGCGTATAATAATTACTCAGACTGAAGTTTTTTCCCAATGTCATTCACAAATATGTTGAAGAGTAAGAGTCCAAGGTGGGATCCCTGGGGAACACCAGATGTGACATCACACTCATCTGAAATGTGTCCGTCGATCCTTACTTGCAATATGCTTCCTGTTAGGTACGATCTGATCCAGCGTAGTGCATTGCAATTCACTCCATAACTTTTTAGCTTCTCCATAAGAGTCTCATGCCTTGCTAAAGTCCGTATATATTGAATGAACTGGAATACCGCTGTCCATGGCCTTGGAAATGTAGTTGACATAAGTATATAAGTTCGTTGTAGTGGATATGCCACCAACAAATCCGTGTTGCTTAGGAGAAATGATATTTCTGAATGATGATATCAACTGAGGCAGGACAATTTTCTCAAACAGTTTTGCTAATGCAGATTGGATACATTTTATTTATAATTGGTGACGTCAGATCTTGGACCGTTTTTGTGGATGGGACTGATGAACGACGATTTCCACGCCGAAAGGCTTCGTGATGAAAAGACTTGCTGAATAAATGTGTGATAGGTTCACAGAGCCCGGCAGCACAGTTGCGTAGAAATATATTAGGCAGACTATCAGGTCCTGCTCCTTTTTTTGTATCCAGGGTCAACAGCTGCTTAAAAACTTAATTGAAGTTAGCATCAAATTCATTTAGCTCCCATGCTGGAGTTCCCATGTCGGTACCCCTTTCTTGTTCTTGACAAACCAAATTTTATAAGTTCTTTAGAGAACCAGCTGGGAAATTTACTTGGTTTCCTCGAATATACAGGGACAAACTGAGAAATACCTTCTTGTACTTTATTATAAAACCAACTAACTTTATTATCCACTTCTTCTATTTTGTATAGCTCAATCCAGTTAGAACTTAAAAAGAAAGCATTAAGACTCACATAGTCGGCTTTCTTAAACGAATAAGAAGGCGGATAATTTGGTATTAGGCTAGGCTGAAAATCCAAGGAGATCTCCAGAGGTGGGTAATATTTATCCACAGTCGTGAAAGCAAGAGTCCAACAGCTTATTATTTTTATTTAAGATGTGATTAAATTGTTGACACTCAATCAGAGCAGTGGTATTGTACAGCAGCTTCTCGCAATCAAAGCGCGGTGTACTGCTGGGCAAATTGTAGTCTCCCACTATCATGATCCTTGAATCCGGAAATTTTCTCTCAAATGTATTAATGATTCAGTATGGACATAGTATATCTCATAATTAGATTGTGGTGGTATACATATATACGCACCCAATGATGATACAAGCATTATCACCTTTGATCCTTATGAAGATCTGCTGGAGGTTATTGTTCCCAATGGATATGAGCTCAGCTTTAATTGTTCGTTTAAAAGCAATCAGGACACCACCTCCTCTCTCGCCTCCTGTCGAAGTATGCCTGCCCTCCTTAGTGTGATATAGGAGCTATCGAAAATTCATTATTTTGAATAGATGTGTAAAGCCAGGACTCTGTGAAACATATTACGTCGTGCGAACTACTTGCCGATGAGGTTAGGAACTCGCTCAGTTTTGTCCTTAGACCGCGCGTATTCTGGTAGAATACTTGTAGGTGCTTTAGATTTCCTTTCCTCGATGACTTGGCGAAAGTTTGTGTTAACTATTCTAGGCGTGCCATGGTTTTGTTTTTCACGCCACTGTCATTCAGCAATCTAAGTTTTTCCCTCAGTGATTGCAATTGTGACTGCTGAGCCGGAGTGAGATCTGACTTGAAGGAGTCTCGTGGGGCAGGATCAGGTTTGGATTTTAGTATACTTATGGCATGAGTGACAGACTGTGTCTCATTCAGCAAAGGCCGACCGATCGGGTGTTGAACGCCCTAGCCTACGTAGCTTGGCCATTCATGGAGCTCCTCGGGAATAACATATGATAACCGTGCTCTACTTTACCGTCTACCGCCTTGGATTCGGTAATATTAAATGCGATCGCGTTGGCTTCCCGCTTCTTACGCTCATTGACCTCGGTAATGACCTCCTCTGAAGGAAGTGAAGAGAATGAACTTAGTTTGTCTTCTATTACCGCAACTCTTTTATCTAAATGTGAGCACTTTTTCGACATAGCCTAGTTCGTTTTATTGTTTACTTCGATTACTTTCACCTAATTTAACAAATCATTAAGTAATTCAATTTAGATATTTATGAAAAAAAGGGCTAAGTTCGGGTGTCACCGAAAATTTTATACCCTCGCATGACAAGTTTCATCAAGATGTCTCAATTTTTACTCAAGTTACAGCTTGCACGGATGGGTAGATAGACATCCGGATTTCAACTCGACTCGTCACCCTGATCACTTTGGTATATGTAACCATATATCTGACGATATATACCGTTATTAGCAACTTTATTGCGACAGGATAAAAATGATGCCATTTGAATTACATGAAAATATCTGAGAGATTTACCTATATTTTCGGTGAAAAATTAGGTTAGGTTAGGTTAGGCACTGAGTTCTTCGTGTTCGATATCAGGGACCTTGAAAAGTTATAGTCCGATCACGACAATTTTTCCACAAGGGATACTTCAGCTCAAATACCGTATTTGTGTAAAGTTTTATTCCACTATCATCATTGGTTCCTAATGTATATATTATACAGAGAAGGCATCAGATGGAATTCAAAATAGCGTTATATTGGAAGAAGGCGTGGTTGCTAACCGATTTCACCCGTATTTCGTACATGTCAGGGTGTTAAGAAAATATTATATACCGAAGTTGATTGAAATCGGTCGAGTAGTTCCTGAGCTATGGTTTTTGGTCCATAAGTGGGCGACGCCACGCCCATTTTCAATTTAAAAAAAAAAGCCTGGATGCAGCTTTCTTCTGACATTTCTTCCGTAAAATTTAGCGTTTCTGACGTTATTTGTTATTTTCAACATAACCTTTGTATGGGAGGTGGGCGTGGTTATTATCCGATTTCTTCCATTTTTGAACTGTATATTGAAATGCATAAAGAAACGACTCTATACAGTTTGGTTGACATAGCTGTAGTAGTTTTCGAGATATATACAAAAAAGTTAGTAGGTGGCGGGGCCACGCCCACTTTTCCAAAAAAATTCCGTCCAAATATGTCCCTCCCTAATGCGATCCTTTGTGCCAAATTTCATTTTAATATCTTTACTCATGGCTTAGTTATGACACTTTATAGGTTTTCGGTTTCCGCCATTGTGTGGGCGTGGCAGGGGGCCGATTTTTGCCATCTTCGAACTTAACCTTCTTATGGAGCCAAGAAATACGTGTACCAAGTTTCATCATGATATCTCAATTTTTACTCAAGTTACAGCTTGCACGGACGGACGGACAGACRGACATCCGGATTTCAACTCTACTCGTCACCCTGATCACTTTGGTATATATAACCCTATATCTGACTCCTTTAGTTTTAGTACTTACCAACAACCGTTATGTGAACAAAACTATAATACTCTCCTTAGCAACTTTGTTGCGAGAGTATAAAAACAACTAATAAATGATCAGCACAAAGTTTAGCACTTGTTGTTTAGCCCAGTGTTGCCACAGTATGCCGATCTTAACTTTTTTTTTTTCGTTTCAAAGTAAGTGAATATTTGATGACCTGTTGATGTAGGTCAGTGGTATAAAAAAATAATAAATATATTTAAGTTACCATCATAACAAAACAACACAACAATATATCAATTATGGATCCGAAAACGGTCACGAATTATGCTATTGTAACTAAGACAGTTGTTACTTTCTCCTTTTGATAATTTCTGCCATTTAACGACTTGAGTAGCTTAATAAAAAAACCTTTTTTTCTATACAATTCATGTTTGCAGTACATTTATTGTACCGTTATAATATATTATTTCGCTCATATAAAAAGTATACATATGTATAAAAAGTGCAGTTTTTCTAAAACCCTTGTTTCAGTATCTTAGTCAATTTTTATACTATAATTAATGTTCACATTAAGTTAGTGCATGTAGTTGAGCTTTCATAACTTTTAAATACATAAAAAAAAAAGTATGCGGTAAACATTAAAGTACCTACTTCTTATCGAAGGACTAAAAAAAAGTTAAAAAAAACACACATACAAGTAAAAAGAAACATAAATAATAATACATACTTAAAGAAAAAATACAATAATAATAAAATTTATATTTTTCGCTTTCTATTATATAAACATTAAAAATAATTTTCATTTTATAAGCACTTCAGCGCCAGTTTCTCATATTATATAAGTAGCAGAGTTCAAATATAAATGCATATGTATTATTTTTGAATCAATAAAAAAATAATATATTAAAATTGTGAATACATTTAAAATGAAGCAGATATGTATATCGACTAATTACTAAACGCATTATTATTACATTTTTCCATAAAACATATATTCAAAATCACACAGAATTTTAAATAATCGCGAAAAACAATTCTTATACAAACAAAAAAAAAACGAAACATTTAAATAATAATTCATAAGGTCTTCTGAAAATTGCAAGTATTTTAAGTGGATAATATAAAAAAGAGGCATACAAAATAAAATACAACTTCATACTTTCTACACCACCAGTTTGCCACTTAAAGCTTAAAGCATGCAATTCGAGTTGAGTTGAAATGGCGCGAGGTCCTTAGTTATCGCCAGTGGCGCGCCATCACATGTCATCTTATGCGCCAACGCCGCCAAATTGCGTGCGTCATCTTGACCCGAGTGTGGACGCCCCTCAAATGTGAGCCCGACATGCGTTATGGCATCGGCAAAGTTTAACGGCTTATATTTGTACCACGCCCGGAAAACGGCACGTAAATCGATCCACTGATTGAAATAGGAAGGTTTCTTCAGCCTTTTCCGCTGACACTCTTTCGCCAAGCAAATACCAAAATCCCAATCGGTCCAGGTGACAAACGCGCAATTGCCAGTCATTTTATCCTTGGACATTTTCGGCAGTTGTAAATTTCGTGCGCGTAACTCTTTGCGTAACCATTCTTGAAACATCATGATAGCTGTTTGCAATGGCATTCCATCATCGACCATATGCTGTTTGATGCCAGTAAGTTCGGTGCAGTATGCGCTCAGTTTCGGCGATTCAATTGGCATGACATATTTATGGAATTCGGCTTCAATTTTACCTGTTTGCGCATTCACCAAAATAGCGGGGAATTCTATAAAGAAATGTATATTGTCAAAGCAAGCAATAAAAAAATGTTATATTTGGTTTGCTACCTATTACTTCGGACTCACGCCATTGTGGTGGAGCTTGATCCGCCCAGCAGGTTGCTTCAAAATCGATGCAAATTAGATATTTGTAATGTTGTGTTGATAATTGCGGCTTATTTCGCTTAGTTAAGTAACTGGATGCATTGTTCTTGTCAGCGCCGTTCTCTTCATATATAGTTTCAACAAGGCCTAGTTGCCTGCAAGACGGAAATAAATTTCAATCTAATTACAAAATAAGTAGGCAGTTATTTAACTATAAAAGCATGCATATAGTATAATTCACAAATTAGCTTAATTTTTTTTTTTTTAAATAGTAATAAAAATGTTTTCGTTGCCTACATTTCTCTACTTTTTGCCATAGCACACAACCATCGGCTTTTGCCGCAACACAAAACCATTGGTTTCCGCTAACGCTTTTGCCATCATTACAGCTGCATCTACTTCACTCAATCCATGGAATGTCACAAATGCTTGTCCTTTCATGCGTCCCTGTTGCATCACTTTGATTTCCATGTTATCAGGTGCTACAAACCGCGCGTAGAGCTGTTTTAGATCCTCTTCGCTGACATCTTTATCAAGATTTTTTATATACAATTTATTACTAGGAGCACCTATTTGGTAATTCTTATAAATGGGGAGCGCCTGCAGTTGTTCTGGTGAAAGTCGTGTTGCACTGAGATCTGAGGGCAGCACAAAGGACTTTAAAGATCGCGTACTTTGTTGGTGTTGTATTTTTACTGCGATTTTGCTTTTTTTACCAACCGATTCTGACTGTTCAAATACGTTTTGCGGCACATTTTTACTGGCGCTGTCAATGCTCTCCACATGCTTCTGTTTTCGCAGTGTTGTTTGCAATAGCTGGCGCGCTTTTTTTTTAAATTGAGCTTCAAGCTCTTCAGGTGCTTTGCGTTTTAATTGCATTTGTATTGATGTAGATTGATGTTGATTGCTTGATTTGGCATCATCGTCTTCGGAAGATTCCAATTCGGTTTCCGATTTTTCATCAATTACTTTAGTTGCTTTATGTATTACTTCAGAAATTTCACTAACTGCCACTGCTTCCTCCATAGTTTGCGTGCTTACATCACGTGGCCAAAGTTTATTTAAACACATACCTGCCGATTTAGCGCCAAAAGGTGGTTCCAAATTCATGCGGTTCATCAGATGCAGCACTTGTGTGTAAAAATATGTGTTACTCATTAAAGCAATACTTATGGCATCTAGTATATCTGGTGTAATACGTGGATAAGCATATTTAAGATAAGGTGGTGGCGGCTGTACAAAATTTAATTTTGCATCACAAGCAAATAGCTGCGACACGTACTTGCTGATTTGTGGTAATGCCGTCTCATTGCTTGGATGTAGTTTCGTCTGCGTCGCTTTGCTAGAGGTCGTCGTTTTTCCAATATTAGTATTTGCAACCGGTTTCACATTTTTGCGAAAGAATGTTACATTCAGCAGTTTACCAGGCTTAACTTCCAACTGCTGCAGCTGCTCGAAAACGGTTTGAGCCGCCTGTTCATTCTCGTAGGTGAGCAGCACGCGTCGGCGGCCAAATGGTTTCACTTCCTTCGCTGCCGATGGTAATATCGATGTTATATCGCTTATGAATTTTGGTATATTCTTTACTATAAGTGTAGATTGAGAAGCACTCATACTTATTTTTATTAATATTAAATATTAAAGCGAAGTTGCCAAAGGAAAAAGAAATAAATATATGTGAGTGTGTCAGGCGAATCAGCTGCGACTCAGGGTTGTATTTGTTTACTGAAAATTAGAGAGAAAGTGTAGTAGCAACTAAGCCCACTCATTTAATTTCTCTTTTAACAAGAGAAATAAATATTTAAGGGATAATTCTCAAACGCTGTGACGCTCTGAACACATAGAGAGCGACAGACTTTATTTAAATCCACACGTTCTTATGGACACAGTTATTGAGTGCAGCTGAACTAAATAACTCCATAATAGGGCCCATACACGACACACTTGTGAGTTGGATCTGTGTGAATTCGTTTCCCCCATACACGAAATACAAATCCATTTTGAGTTCGTTCTTCACACAGTAGACATGTGCCACAGGCAAGCAGAACATTTCTTGAAATTTATTTCTAATGTAGCACTTTTATCTATTTCTTTCTATTTCGTTAATAAGTATATTTATCACTTTTCGTTTGCCAAATTTCTAATTAATTTTTTATATGATTAATAAATTCTGATACGAAATCTTTATTAATGGGGAGCCTACTTTAAAAGCTTCAAACAATCGATTTCTTTTTGCTAGAAACTAGAAGGGAAATAGTGACCGAGCGTCTAGCAGATATATGAGCGCTTGGGCAAAAAGCGAAAACTTTGCCGCGCAATTTCTCGGCTTTTCATTTTTACGATTTTTTTTAATTGGCGACTAAACATCGTATGGAATATGGGGCAAAGTTTATTATTTTTGACATTAAAGTATCTTCTATTTAAACTCTAATAAATAAACTAAGAAAAGTAAAGTTTGAACATATTTTTAAACGGCATTAAGTAAAATTTCTTTTGAACAAAAATCAATATTTTAAATTTTTTAATTTTCTTTTTTTTTTTAATTGTGCGCTTTTTATGAATTTTATTAGTTTAACTAAAAGATAAATTATTAAAAAATATGAATCTTTTTGAATTTTTTGTTTCAGATAGAAATTGCGACCTGCACCCTGCCCGCCGTCCGAAAAATGCACATGCGAGATGCATCGGGCAATTGCTTCGCAAAGGCAGAATATCAACGATTTTGCATCCAAAAAATTTGTGAAAGATGTACAAATATATAACTATAAAGAATAGAAATTTTACTTGAATCAATTATTTCTTTCCCTCCCAAAAAAATCCTCAAATCGATTTTTTGAAGCCTCTAAAGCAGGCAAGTGTTAAGCAATATTCGTCCGCGATTTTCACTGTTCGGCGACACGAGAGAAATGAGATTTTGTGCGCACACAACGCCATACGCGACACACATGTGCGCACACCGATCGTAAAAAATCAATCATTTTCGCGAACATGGATCGCGCACACACATACCGATCCAACGCACTTATGTGTCGTGTATGGGCACTTTAAGAACGTGTGTATTTTAATATTTGCAGATTAAACTTGATGTCTGCAGCTCTCTATGTGTTCAGAGCGTAAATGTAAAATTTAAATATGTTTTTATGATAATTGTAAATGAGTCTTAAAAATTAATATAAAAAAATCTAAAAAAATATTATTTGTTTGGTTTATTTTTAAGGAATGCGTACATACGCATATATATTTGCAATAAATATTCATTAAAAATTATTCAAATGGTACGAAAGCAAATATGAATAAGTGTACACTTATGTACGTGAGGGCAAGTATGTCCATATACATACATACATATTATGTATTACGTAAGTATATATGTATGTATGTTTGCAAGCATTTTAATTTTACTCGATTTGCATTTTCTCAAAACTAAAACTTTATCTCTTCTATTACTACACGTGTAAATAATTTGAATTTTATTGAAATCAATAGCTAATTAAATTAAATAACACAATCGTTTGCCATTAATAATCACCCTAATAGAGAATAGAGGAAATGTTTCATTTAACAGAATTCTAGTATTAGGATTTTATCCTTAAACAATTTTTGTTTTTTAAACATGAAGAATGCATTTGCCGTGAAGATATATGTATGTATATGTGACCTGGTCTACGAAAAGGGAGCTAACGTGCGGAAACTAGTTTTCTATCACGTGAAAAAGCATCTCATCTTTTATCCGAATCAACTAAAAAGTGAAAATTGATTTTTTCACACCTAAGCCCCCTTTCCGTAGACCAGGTCACATATATTAATCATTATAGAAAGATTTTCCTAACGTCGGTCACCTGCCAACAGATAACAAAAATTGAGCTCTTTCAAAAATCCCCTCAGTCCAGGTGCTCCTTGTCCATAATTTCAACTGGCCCTAAGGTGCATGTGTCCAATTGTTTTAATTAATTTAAATAATAAACCTTGAATAAAACGCTTATATGTATAACAAATAACAGAGGTATTAAGTAATAAAATCCCTGAGAAATAATTATTATTTAAAGATTGTTTTGTAATCTTTATCGTCTTTGAAAGCGCACTGCCTGAGCTCATTTTTTGCTTCCTAGAATTATTTTATGATAAAAGCTTTTGTTGCAATTGCACTTATCTGCCACCATGGCAGCGGCTAATTGCCACCAATCCCGCTGCATTCTATTCATAATTCTCTATTTAAAGAAGAAAAATTAATTTCCTACAACGCTGTTTAGAAGAGCATTCTTATAAGGGCATACACCCAGATGCATATTTACATATGGGAACATTGATAGTAGATATATTGGAATGGGTAAACAAATTTATTTTTTTGCTTGGTATTCTGAAAGTTAGCTTTTAGACACCTCTAACGAAGTTATACACGGTTGAATTTCTTTTCAATTGCATAACTCACAGCAAAACGAAATCATTTTAAATTGCAAAACTTATTGTTTGGTTGGAAATTTAGTGTTCTACAAAACTATCTATATAATTTTTCGATTATCATTAAAAAAAAAAAATTAAAATTAACAAAGAAAATAACAAAGTGATAAGCGAGATATTTTTCAAGTAGTTGAAAGCAAAATATGAATTTTTCCATCTTACAATAAGAAAGACCAAAAAACTATAACCTTGACCATACTAAACGAAAAACAAAAACTTTTTTGACACATCGTAATGTATGTATATAGTTAGATATGTACATAAATACATATATGCGTAAAAACGTGATATTGCTTGCCCACCTCCTTTATCCCAGCAGCAGTTTGTTGTTATTGTTTTCTTTGATGTATAATTGCAATTTTGCATGGTGGGGTAGGTGATGATGGTACGGCAGACACGGTTGGCGACTATGAAAATAAATAGCGTAAAGCAAACAACAAAAACAAGCTTGCACGTAACAAAAAAATAAGTATCAGCACCAACAAACAAGTAACGTTTGGGTTTGCTGTCAGGTCATAACCGACATAAACCGCTTTTCGACGGTTTATTTTATGTGCGAGCGTGGAGCTTGAAAAAAAAATAAACGCCAAGCGCAGGGCTAGCAGCAGCATTAGCATACATAAGCGGGCGAAAGCTTATAGAATAACAGAAATTACCTTAAGCGTGCGATTCTGTACTGTGATACAGTATCAAGTCTCTAAATGTAACCAATCTCTAGTCTCTATTTGAAACATTTTCAGTTAAAATCTCAATATGTGACTAGATACTATTCACTAAACCAGTCACCAGCATTAGTCTCAAAATATTGCCTCAAATTTGAGACCTGGTAGTTAGCGGGTCACAAAACCAAAAAGAACTCTTGTCTGCCATTTTGAATATTCTGAATAGAGATCATCATAGATATTAATCGATTGTCGTTTTTTTCATATTATTTTAATCAACTCAAACACGAAAAGGTTAAAAATAAAGAAATTTTACATAAATTTATGATTGTTTGTGTAATTGCCGTGTTATGCTATCCAATTTAAATTTTCAAATGAATTTCGATTATTAAAATTAATAAAGATTAAATTTACCTAGTTTTGATTAAAATTTTATTTCTTATATCAAAATATTTGTAAATATTTTTTATTTTATTAAAAATATTTGAAGAATATGTCTGTTTTTGTTTAAATTATTACAAATAGTTTTTCTTAGTATTGTATATATTATATGGGTGAAAGTAGGCCTCCGGGAGAACCTAATATCCAAAAAATATCGGTAACGCGCCTATATTGCAACCTCTTTATTATTTTTAAGTCCTTTTATCTGAATCTCTGTGACGAAAAATCAACTATTTCGATCAGGTAAGCTGTTGACGACCATATGATTCTTTTGTTACTTGTAAGTTTCTACAATGGCTACGACACAAGTTGTACCGCAGTTGCTGCCATCGCCGCTGTTCAGAATGAACCAGTTGTACTTGACCAGAATTTCAGATTACAGCGGCTCGCTTACGGCGTCATACACAGTTATTCATAGATTCTGAATAAAGATGACAATTAAATACAAGATTTCAATATTCCACTCGCCATGCGATGCAGAGGTGGGGAGAATGGTAGTGACTCAAATTTATGTGTAATATGTGTAGTTACTCTGTAGTTGGTGCCTGTTGTGTGACAGCCGCTGGAGTTATGGTCAATATGCCACGAATAACGTATTCAATCCAATGTAAATTGCATACATATATTAATCTAAAGTCAATTTTTATATATGTATGTATGTATTTCTCGAGCTTTATTACTTTTTCGGAATATTAATTTTCTTTTTCTAAGTGAACCCATATTTTCTTTCTAAAACAATCTCAATGAAACCGTAATATGTCTTATAGCCTTGACAGACGGCAGCGTTAATCCGGATTAGCAGCACATTTAATCAGATCCGAATTCGTAGATGACAGACAGCAGCTATGCGAGTTTGAAACTCTCGTAAACATATGATTGACATTTTTATAATATTTTCAATGAAAATAGATAGAAGATAAACATTGTTGTTAATCGAACAATTAAAAAAAAAAACTTTTTTATTACAAACAAATATCAACACGTTATTTTTAAAACTGCATTACAACAAAATATCATTACATAAAACTTCTTGTTTTATTATTGAAAATTTGAAAAACAGCTGTTAGCGTTGCTTGTTGAGATGTAAAAAGAATTTTTGTGGTAAGCGGATCTCTAGATTCTTTAGACCAGCGTTTAACAAAACTAAGAGCGCCTTTAGCTTTA